GCGACCAACTTTTGAAAAATTCCTTCCTGCCAAAGTGAGTGAAACGAACCGATGGTGGCTCACGAATTAGGAAGAGCGCACTTGCTTCCATAGATGAGGAAAGTTTCGGTTTTATGCCATCATCAGTCTGACAGCTACAGGGCCTCAAAGTTAAGTATCAAGTTCAAAAGAAATGGAGTCTATGTTACCGCCAAACTTGTCAAAATTTCATTCCTGCCGTTTCCCAAAAAATCTGGAAATTTTTAGTGGACATTTAAGTCGGCACCGGTTCCTTAGTACTACAGTGCTATTTTAACCCCTTCCGACTTACTAAAGTGTCTGATTTGAGGCAAATATTCTCACCAAAGTCATCCGAGGCAAAAAAATTTTGTGTCCGCAGTAGACCTGGGCAACTCAATGAATTTTTAGGAGGTAGCGCAGTGCGACGCAATGGCTTGGTGCGCCAACTCAACGCACACTAAATGAGTTATAACTCATCAACTCAGAGGGCGACACCAACTCAAAAACGCAACTCAACTCAGTGTTACCCCGGCTTAGTCCGCATGCATAAAGGGCAAATGAATTAATCGCTCTCTTTTCCTTTTGAAGTGTTTTGGCACCAAATGGATAAACGCGATTGCGAAAGTAAACCGAGCAGATAAATTGAGTCGTCAAAGGATGAGTCGCTGTCGCCTTAATTTCCTTTTGTCTGCCGCTGAAGGAAACGGTGTCTTCATTAGGTGAATAGTTCCGAAAATTGCTTCGGAACAATCGTTTCCAGGCCGATAAAAAGCCCTCCACTGCTTGCCACCTCTTCTTGTCGATATTTAGCGACTAATTAATCTATTCCAGTGGCATCGGGCGGCGATTTATCGACTGGAGCGCCGTAAAACAACGTCATATTTCGGCGTCATTAAACAGCAGACGATATTTCAGTTTTATTTCCAAACATGAAAAACCGTTTGGACCCTAAATCATGCTTTACGACGGTGTGAGAGCGGCCAGAGAAGTGAGTTATCATGCAAACATTTTTTATTTTTTTTATTTTGAGCGACTACTTACATCGACTCGGATGCCATCGATTGGAAACACGCGGATCGGAGGCTCTTCTTTTGGCACAAATCGGTAAAACTCCACTTGATCCCGATACCATTTCACTGAGTACAAAGCAGCTCCTTCCAGATCGTATTGGCATCCCAATGTTACAGAGTGTCCAACTCGTACGGCCCTCGGCACGTTCAGGTGCATCGCTCTTAAGCTCATGCTGCTGGATATTTCTGGAAAACAAAACGTAAATCCCATTAATCGCTTATGAGGAGCTTAGATGGAGCTCAGGCTCAAATCCCTGCTGCTGCTCAGGGCTGGATCACTCGCCCCATTAGTGCCGATAATTATCATATAGACATGCGGCAGTAATTGCCAGACACCTGCAGCCATCCAGACTCCAGACAGATCACATAATTTAGTCGATTTAACTAAATGAGGTGTCTCAATAACCCGTAATTAACACGAGCTCACGCCAAGCAAGACATATGTGTGGATTTTCAGCTGATAAGCTTCTGGTATACACGGTGAGCCAAAGAGGTATGTGCCTTTGGCTCTGCTAGCCTGAGTGACTAATCAAGTAAATCAACTTGT